TGTACGCTTTGGGGTCTATCGCCATTGAGAGCAATTTGTTTCCACAGGCCACAGTCTACGCCCCAGCTAATTGCCCCTGTAGCACCAGTCTAAGTATAGATCTCAAAATTAGCCTCGTTTCATGAACAAGATTCCATGGTACTAGGCAAAATAGTAGACAATGAGACAGGAAGGACGGAAAAAAAGGAGAATTAATGCCAGGAGATGTTGCTAGGATCAAAACGGACCTCTGCCCAAATATGCTTAATACTCGTCTCTCTAGGCGTTTCAAGTGAGAGCATCAAATCTCGCGCCTTGATGCTCAGATCCTGTCGTAGAGTGTCATCCTTACCACCCCCTGCTGTCAGTGCGTCAATCCCGGCAGCAAGCTGCTTAACCAGGTCAGATGTAGCCTGGAGGTTCATCGCAGTTGTCGCTACAGATACGTCCACTGGGGACTCGTTTACTCCGTTGGGTGCCATCTTGTGGGAGGTGATCAAGCAGAATAGGCTAGTTAGTCTGTTGGAAGCTATGGAAAGATTAGAGGTAATCAAAATCTCAAAATCTACGAGGCAGCTTACAGCCATATACTGTAAATAGTTCATCATAATCAGGACTACACGTGCCAACAACGTCAATCATTTCCCCGGGTGGCCTCTCGCATCACTCACATCAGCCAACCCACGTTCCGCTGATCTGTAATCTATTACTCAGAGGCCTTAACGATGATAGGGCTCATTTTCGACTACCCCTTTGCAGTGCAACGCCAACTGGGACCAACATCGTATCCTCCCCACGCTTTTGTTGTGGTAAAGACGTCGCCAAGGGCGAAGGAATGCAGTTGGGCCAACTCAGTAGCCAACAAGTAGGCTTGTTGGCTGCCGCCTGTCAGTGTTGGATGTGAGGATCACGATCCCTGCCAGGATGACGAAAGCTTAGGTCGTAGGGATTTGCCGTGGACCAATGGTCCGGGTCATTGACCAGTTTCTTCTTAACCCCAATTTATTAGGGCTCTTAAAATCTTACGCGATTAGCGAGCTCCAACGTTGGCCTCGTGAACGCCACCGATCGACTCTTTCAGGAACCGCCATCGAACCGATCTCCGGTAGAGGGTGACGGTTGATGGGTGTTATGTACGACATGCCGAGCTCTAAACTAAGAGGTCATGAGGGTGACAGAAATTGCGGTCAATTTCTCAAAGTAAGGAGCAAGGGCCCACGGATACCAGAAGTGAATACCCCAGAGCCCCAGCAGTGACAGTTCAGACCAATAACCCTGGTCTTGGACGCACAACCCTGGACCGTAAGCCCGTTTGCCGTTACATTCGCTGTCACTCTGCCTCGTGACATTAAATTGATGGGGAGGGTTACATTGCGTGCTTCAATGTTGCGCTCGATCGCTCAGCTCAATCAAATATGTGATATAGGGTCTTTTGTGCATGTACTTAAATCCTGCTTTTTGATACGATTCATACGATGAAGGCATGCGAGGAATACAGGACGACACGTCAATCTGCCTTACCGCGGTGTGATATAGGACCAGGGTCTCCCGGGGCTTTGGATGGTTCAAGTGAGATCGTCGCTTACCCAGACCAACAATCCCAACTCCTGACCCTGTCAAAGAGGGGAAACGTTGGAACTATCACCCACGGCTTACTGTGATAAGAACCCCATCATGCCGAGCCCCGTAGCATCGTTGTTCAATGCGCCCCTCTTGGATCGTGGCCCGGTGGGTTATGCTGCATTTGGCGGAGTTATGACATTCAACTCTCGCCCTTCCCCCGCTCGCGTCTCTCCTCATTCTAACAAATTTGAGGCTCTTCTCCTCTTTCTCTCTCGCCCTAGAGAGATCCGGTGTTGATCAAAATTTCTCGCCGACATGTCCGCCACGTCTCTCGATGGGCCGCCATCAGGCACCCCGGAGTATGATGCCTGGGCAGCGCAAGACAAAGGCCCCTCAATATCCATCACTTGCTGGCTCTTCATTTCACTGGCAGCTGTTTTTGTGTTCGCGCGACTGTTCGTAAGGCTGCGCGTGTACAAAAAACTTATGCCGGATGATTACTGGTGTGTTGCAGGACTGGTACGTACATTCTTGGCTCTCTCAATATCGCAACAAGCCCATTATTCTTCTAACATCCGCCCATAGGTGTGCGGCTTCCTTTCGACTACATTTTCCCAATTAGCCGTTGACAATGGCAACGGAAAACACTACCAGCTGCTCTCCGACGAGCGGCAAGAAAAGGTCATCCTTTGGACGATAGTCGCATTCTGTCCTGGCGTCTTATGCTTTGGCTTTCCCAAACTAGCTGTGGCACATCTCCTGATCAAATTGATGAACCCTGGAAGATACCATCGGTGGTTCCTTTGGGGAATGGTTATATGGTGTCTCCTCACTCTCTTCGCGACTATCGGCACACTACTAGGACAATGTCAGCCGGCGAATTCACAATGGAACTTTGACATCAAGGGAGAATGTGTACCAAAACATCACATTGTGAACTTCAGTCTCTATGCCGGAGGTAGGATAGATTCCATCCTGCAAGCAGCCCGCATCTATGAAGCTAACCCCTATGTCGCAGCCTACTCTGCATTCGTCGACATTTACCTCGCCGTTTATCCGGCTGTCGTACTCTTTCAGTTGCAGCTCAAGCTTAAAAAGAAGATTGCACTCTCTGTCGCTCTTGGCATTGGTTGTGTGTACGTGTGGATACTTCATGTTCCTTTTTAAATACCAACAAGGATAAAATGCACTGACAAACATTCAGCTCCGGTGCTGTCGCCTTATATAAAACGACTAGGATTCCCAAAGGTCTCGCCAGCCCTGACTTTTCATGTAGGTCCTCTTGTTCGGCAGACATGTTTGAGCACGAGCTAACTCGCTATCAGACGAAAGTTCAGATCTGGTTATTTGGACAATGTAAGTTATTTACTTCTATCGTCACTTCTTGACATTATAGGGCAGACACAGTATTTACTGACATACGTTTTCAGTATCGAAGGTTCCACCATTATCATGGCTTGCACCATCCCGGTCCTGTCACCACTAATGGACATGATATTTGGCCACAACCCGTTCAGTTCGTCGAGGCGTAAGACGAGCTCCTACGAAGCATACAAGATGCAGCCGAGGAGTGGACTTGGGACCACGGATACTCGGGGGCGACAGTCGAAGCCTCCTACCCAGTACGATCTCGAGAAAACGGCGTTCGATGATCGCGATGGCAGTCAGGAGATTATCATCAGTGGACGCAGTAATGAACCGAGTTCCTCCGATCGATATCCTCTCCAAAACTTTTCTCGGCCGTCTGGTAGCACGCCGCCAGAGGGACACATCATGCGGACCGATGAAATTGAGGTGTCGTACGATAGCCAGGCCGTGCATGGTCGATCGAGGATTTGAAATAGAAAAGAACAAAAAAATCAGGAAAAGTAAATAAGCCGACAAACCAAGAATATAATACTTAATTAACACAATATTATCGTAGATGACCACGTTAGCCTTCAAGGACTAGTAAACCTAGTAATGTGTCAACAACACTGGAGCACGGTGTTCCATGACACCAATGATGTTGTAGAAGTCCACCATTAATACCTTGCGTGGACTTAATAGGTCTCCAAGCATATACACTACGTTTGTTCATACAATACTTAGATCAAAAAACGACCTATGTGTATGTGGTTATACAGGGTTCCTCGAAATGCATGTCTAAGCTCGCAGCCAGGTTCTTGTGTACTTGGTCGCCATGTATCGCCCATGAAGGCAAAATTATGATAATTCGATGCACCAAGAGTTGGCTCTCTTGTTGACGCCTCTTGATAAACCACCCTAAACGAGAACGTGAATATGCTAAATGCTAGTCAAGGTCTTCTGGATGGATTTGATGCGTTTCTCTAGAAGGACATCATAGAAAATTTAAGCCATCTAACATGGATCTTGATAGATCAACGTTATTGAAACCAATTGATTTTAAGTCTTATGAGCGTAGGTTGAGAAACATCAAGAGTTTTTACATTAAAAATCCACTTGCTCAAAAGGCGAAAATGGATTTGAATTTCAGAACTCAACATTACCGTGATCACAATAATCACTTTCTGCCAGTTCTGTACAACTTGAATTTTGCAACTCAGTATCACAGCAAAACTTATGCCATTAGATGAGAGCATGAAGCATGAATTGATGCGAGTCAAAGCAGTCTTTAGTGGCTGACTTGTGTTGGACTTCTATTCTACTTATGGGCGATATAGGGTATGTGTATCTTGAGTTGGTTTCATCAAGTCTCTAGCTGATGACTAATAGATGAACTGGCTGGTCCTCGGTCGAAACCCCTCGTCTTCGTTGCTTATTATCACTAACCTTCCTTTCTTAGAAGCCAGTAGGCTTGATTTGCGCCTCTTTTTTCCAAGCATGCGATTGATCAATGCGCACACGCTAGCATTGGAGGAGTTCTTTGGCGCAAATATTCCAAGATACGCCATCCTATCTCACACCTGGGGGTCTAAAGAGATCCTCTTGACTGACTGAACGGAAGTTGAAGCAGCATCCAAACAGTTGGTTGTTGAGCTTGCTCCAGCTAAGGCTGGGTAAAAAAAGATCAAGAATGCTCTAAATCAGGCAATAAGGGATGGTCTGGACTATCTTTGGGTAGACACGAACTGTATTGACAAGCCCAATCGGAGCGAACTGGCCGAGGCCATCAACTCGATGTTCGCCTGAAATCGAGATGCAGTGGTCTGCTATGCATATTTGGAAGATGTCAAAGAGTTCTCAACTCCGCCGACGAGGCACGAGCCTCAAGACTAACGTTGGTTTACCAGAGGTTAATCTCTGCAGAACTATTGGCTCCCGATAAGGTCAACTTCTATTCCAGTGACTGGACCTTTCTTGGGTCTGAAAATTACCTAGCGGATACGATTAAAGACATTACTGGAATTCCAAAATCCTTCATCACCGGTCGACACAGCGTATACAGAGCAAGTCTAGATCAGAGGATGTCTTGGGTAGCAAGACGTATTGCGACGATGCCTGAGGATATCGCATATTGTATGCTCGGGATTCTCGACGTATATATGCCCCTAATTTACGGACAGGGTTACAAAGCTTTCATCCGACTCCAGGAGGAAATCATTAAATCATCTACAGACGAGAGTCTGTTTTACTGGATCTTTGACAACACCGTGCCCATTGACTGGGTCAGTGTTCTAGTCCCTTCACCGTCGGTGTTTCGAGACTCCAGTAACTTTGAACCTTACCGACTCTTTCGGGGCCGGGTATCTTCCTATTCAGTCACAAACCAGGGTCTATCAATCAATCTCCCACTGATAGAGGTGAAAGACGGATTTTTGGGTCTTCCGAATGTGCTATCACTCACACGAGGCGCGGGAGCCGTTGCGATATTCCTTCAAGGCGACCTTACCAGCGGCGTTCTCACGAGAGCCAGGTCACCAGGCGCGCCGATCAGGCTGCCCGGGAGTATGGCTGTATTATCCAGTTATCTAATGCCAGTCGAGCATACCAGAGAACATATCTTTATTCGATCCAAAATCGGTTTAATCAAGCCTCTCATTACACCTTCAAAATCAGTCCAGCTCACCGCTCCTACCAACATCCGCCAAGAAAGTCAGTACCAAGTATTACTATTAACACCTTTCCTCATGGGCGCATTTTGAGTGGATGTGTTTTGAATATCCAACCTTCCGATACCACACCCACTGATAGTGTTCTTGTCCAGCTCAATTACTACTCTAGTCCAAGTACTCGCCTACTATTTCGAGCATCTTGTCAAGCCGACAGAGATACATGCACGTGGTTTTGCAAGGTCCTCGATTCATATGAGGGAGATGTCACTTCGCTGTCGGAAACTCAACTGGACGCAATGGCTCGTGACAATCAAAGCACTGAACAACTTTCAGATGATAGTAAAGAAGATGTCAAAATACAAATGGGGGAGGAGTTTAATGCAGAGTTGAATTGCCAAATGCGAGTTGCACATATCTCTGTTCGTTCGGAAGCGTCTAGAAACACAACTGGTATTAAATTCGACTTGGGACTTTCGCGTCTCAGCTCTGGCAATATCTGGCAGTATGCTAGAAATATTTTGGATAAGGATAATGCATAGGCGTGATGGTGTCCAGATTACATGCAGACTTGTACCCAGAATAGCAGCTTTCGTTATGATGCCTAATTTAAACCCTTTTCAACTTTCGTTACCAAAGTTCATGATATCTAACCTCCGCCTCTTAGGCTTGCTTTGGCCCCACAACTTGGGGCAAGTTGCTTTACAGCGACCGTACCGAGTACTTGTCCTAATCTAAGTAAATGATAGACGCTTTCCATTATGCGCTGCCATAGTCAGAGAGATATCATCTCTCATCATATCATCACGTGATGTCATAATATATGACTCATCTTTTCCCTCAAACACCTATTGAGCGTATGGGATCACGATGCTGCGGGGTAATGCCATAACTACACATCTAGGCTGTCAATTACACATACACAACGAAGCCCCTCTAATCGAAACCAGTGATAGCAGCATCCCCAAACTGGCGATGAGCGATTCAACATGGCTGCCCAGAGTTTATCGGCTGCGAAGGCTCCCACATCACGTTGGGAGTGAGGCTGAGGCCGAGGACTTGTTTAGCAAAGCATTTGACGTACCGTCTGACAATATTCGAGTTCACTCGCTGGCAACCACGCACAATCGATTGGAAGTTCCGCCTTCCAAAGTGTGCACTCTCCGACTGAGAAGCTTACCAGCCTGTGTAAGACGAGATGGGAGCGACAATGAGTGGGAGGCGCCACACCCCGAACAGCCAGGTTGCAAACTTGTTCTAGATACTCATTTCGAGGGTATAACAGTTCTCAATGACATCAAGCCGGATTCTCATCATACAGAGTATGTCCAGAGAAAACCAAACATGACCCATAACATTAGGATCACGAGCTAAACGGGCGATAAAAGCTGTATCTGCATTTCAGGCCTTGCCAGCCACCCATTTGGCTCGTGGCAAACACATGGTCATGATAAGTCTTTCATGTGGCTGAGGGATGAGATTCCCAGGCTTATTCCTGGAGTCCGCGTGATTCTGTATGGATACAACTCTCAGATACTTAAGAGCAAATCCTTCCAGAGCATCACTGACATTGCTCTTGGGTTGATAAATCAACTGCAGGCCGGGGGATGGACGATGAAATCCTCAAAGTCACTTATCTTCTTAGCCCATAGCCTCGGTGGAATTGTACTCAAGGATGCTATTGTTCAAATTGCTGATCGCGAGATTGTGGCTTCTATCCTTGATAAAATCAAGGGTATCATTATGTTCGGTGTGCCTAACTTGGGCATTTACAATTCTCACCTGATAATGATGACTCAGGGACAGCCTAATGAAAGTTTAATTCAAGAACTATCCCGAGGAAATGGTAATTCTTATTTACGGGAATTGAATAGAAGGTTTGATGGTCTGTCTTTTATTACCAGAGCCAAGATTTATTGGGCATATGAGACCAAAGAATCAGCCACCGTACTCGTAAGTAATATTTCCTAATTTCTTTTGTTAATGTTGGCTTTTCTCTAACTTATACAAATTATAGAGACAACTAGATGGCCAATGGGGGAGAAACGGTCCCTCCGAGATTCTCGTTAGCCCAGATTCAGCAACTTGCTACTTCAATAGCAAGAATAAGATAATGACTATACCTATTGATAAAGATCACTCGAGTATGGTAAAATTTTCGAGAGGGGATAAAGATCTGGAAATAATACTCCAGACCATTGGAGAATTATGTTATATTAAACAGCCCGAAAATCTCGACAAATCAGTTGCCGGATCCAACTTCATGGGGCACCGGCCGTTGGAGAACTCCCAAGGGTCGAGTGATGGTTCCCATTTTCAAGGACAGGAGTTTCTGATGGAGTTTGTTAGCCTTCAGGATTCCATTCAAGGTACTTCTGACCTCCATCTTGTTTCTTTGCTCTTGTTAACAGCCAAGCAGATATGTGCAAAAATCTCAACGCTAATGAACTAGACTTTCGGCTAAGCCAAATCGAAGACCCATTTCAGGAAACGTTCGGGTGGGTTTTTAAACTACCCCTGTTTCGTGACTGGCTTCAGCAAGGATGCGACATATTCTGGATCAATGGTAAGCCGGGTTCCGGAAAGTCTACCCTCATGAAACACATATTTAAAAGCAAGGTTACCTGGGAGTTATTACATGACTGGAGACGAAGCACGAATGAAGTGAAAGAGATGATCGCAGGATTCTTCTTTAATTACCGGGGAACACCGCTACAAAAATCGTTCGAAGGGATTTTGAGAAGCTTGATTTTGCAGATTATCAACCCTCACGTGCGCAAGTTTGCAAAAGAGCACTCGGAAATATCGGCCCTTCTGGCACGGAGAAAGAGAATCTTAAGCTTTTTGGAACAATTTGAAGAGCTTTTGCGAATTATCGCCCCAACAGCGTTGGCGACTGATGGCGACAACCAATCATCTCAAAATGAGAGGGATCAAATACTCCCTAACATTGAGTCCGCGGAGAAGCAGCTTTCCGATATCGATGGAGAACTGTCTTTGATCTTCCAAAAACTTCAATACTATAAAGACTCCCCTGACTTCAGATTACTCTCCCTTATTCAGACGGAATATCGACAGCCAGGAGACGGACTAATTCATAAGTTGGAGAAAATGCTCCGTCTGCTCTTGGATCAGAATATCATACAGATGGACTTATTCCTATTTTTCGACGCTCTAGATGAATTTGACGGTCATTTGGATATGATATGTCGTTTTTTGAAGAGCTTGATTCTGAACCCTTCAAATAATGGCACTAGAGTCAAAGTTTGCTTTTCTAGTCGGCCATGGAAGGCTCTTCAGGAACATTTCTACGAATACCCGGGTTTCAGCTTACAGGAACACACCCAAGATGACATTGAAAGTTATGCCGCTAGTCGCCTAGCTATATCCTGCACCACTTCATCCATCACCCAGGATCTCATCCCAACTATTATTGCGAAGGCAAGCGGTGTGTTCCTGTGGGTTAGACTAGCCATTAGTGAGATCCTTGCCACCGTCTCCGCACACCCCAAGGGCATATCGAAAGAAAAGCTCCGAGACGTGCTCCAGCACCTCCCAGACGACCTCCAGGAATTTTACAAACTCACTGTGGATCGCATCGCGAAGAGTGATCGTCGCCGCGCTTTCGCCCTTCTTGAACTCATCATCCGTGCGCGGGAACCCCGGCATGTTGATGACATTTGGCGTGCAGTTCAAATTGCAGGCTGCTCTACTTTTCAAGAGGCATCGCCATTCGTGAAATACACATTTGGAGTATGGCATTGCTATCCCCGCGACCAAAACCCTCATATTGAACAGGTTTCCGATGTTATTACTTGGGGCGGCGGATTGGTCGAAGTTGTTAGAGGCTACCCACAGCTGATGCACCAAACAGTACTGGAGTTCACCCTGAGCCTGTCCTTCAAGAAATATGTCCTTGGTGATTTGAGCTCTCTTGTTACCGAGAACGGGCATTCGTTCTACATGAAGTTCTTACTCTCCAGTATGGCTTGGGATAATATGCTGCGCGAAACCCCGCAGACTGAAGACCAGGACGAGCTGGCATTTCATGCGAAACAATCTGAGTTGACAACGGGGAAGAGCCATCTTCAATTCTTTCAAAGCATACCTGAAGCCGAGCTTGTGAAACTCAGCGAAGTGGATATTAGCCCTTACAGTCGAGTAGCAGCGAGCCTCGTTTTTTTCTCTTCTCTCGGCTTGGTTCTCTGTATAAGGGATTGGATGGAGGGGAACCCCAGTAAGCTGCAGCATGTGTGCAAAAAAGAAGCCAGCTTGCCGATCATGACATCGCTAATTATAAAGCGGATTGAGTCCGGGGAGTTACAACGCCGATATTTGGAAACCTTTAAATCGCTCCTGGATCATGGGTTTGACATGAAGAGAGACCCCGATTTCTTGGAAACCCTTGTTACGAGATGTTTAGCTATTGTGCGGACTAGTGACAATGAGGTGTCATTTTCAAGAGATGGGCTGGATTCAGATTCTACTGTCATCTCTGTCGAGTACAGAAGGCGAAAGATTGTCCAGAATTTCACCGCTCAGCTCGCTTCGGAGGATGAGCAAACTTTCCACGATCTTGACGCTGCAAATAAAGTTTGCGAAGTGGTCTATGAGATATTTGACATTCTGGCCAAAGCGGGGGTTGACTTCCTCCTTATAAGCGAGACATTGATGCAAAAATTGATCAAAGAACTTGAAAGACGGGGTCACGTGACAGATATACTGCGGGAATGGCCAAGGGGCAAAACACGTACGCTTGGGCGGACGTATATTCGGAGACTTAAACGCCTTTTTAAATAGCTCGGCAACCACTCATAGGCTTCCTCGTATCTCCCAAAACGTGAACCATGATTTATATTAAAATATCCGTCTTCAAAACCCAGCACGTGGCATCCATTAGGCTGTACGGCAAGAAAAGTCCTACACTGCCGCATCAACAATTAGGCTTTAACTATAACATGCCGGAAGGCTGCGGTACATGCTGATAGACACTGAGATAGGGCCTTCAATACCATTCAGGCAACTCTGATATGCTTCGCCTGTGACAAGACCATCAATTACGCAAGGACTCAATGCAATTGGCGCGCTACATCTCATCGAACACACGAATTAGCAGCCGCTGATTAGAGGGTCTCCGCCCGGCACTGATGCGGGAATGCCGGACCTACGGCTTGCGTCAGGCTCACCTATGAGGTTAAATCGCGTGGATGGCAGGTCTGGGCAACTGAATGCAGTCAACAGGCCGTTGTGGGCCGAAGCCGCGACGGGAATGGTATCATCCGCAATCTTTCCGCCCTGCAGAAAAGGCTCATCATCCCCAGGGCTGGAAATATGGTCTGTTATCCTGGAGAGAAAAAAAAAGAGGAAGTCACTTGCTTTCTTAAGTGATTTATGACCAGAGGTTCAAATCTCATACAGTTTTGACTTGAGCCTATGTCTTAATCAACAATCGAGGCAATATGTTCAACCCAGCCTCTTATTATGCGCAGAGACTATCACCTTCCATATTGGATTGGATGGGTGCAGACGATCAGGGGCAATGTCACTGACTCAAAAAGTGCATGTCGTCTCCGACCCTATCAAATCTCCCTGGTCGCGTGCACCTCGTATTCTGAGCCCTGACAGCATGTTTATCACTCTATTTGCAACCAAAGGTCAATGATTTAGGCGTTCCCCGTTTCCACATATATTGCATCATGGTAGATTGGGGCAGGTGGGCAAAGCGATCCTGGTTATCATTACCAGGATCCTTGCGGGCCATTAATCTAGTGGGGGTACATATGAATGCTTAAATACTGTCTCTCAATCCTGATTTTCCTAGGAATTATTCATCAATAGGTATTGCTTTCTAGTAGTTGCATAGCATTGCGGATTCTCGAAATGCGATTCTCACAAACTCTTCTCCAGGCCATCACTGCCTTCGCTGCTGTAGCTTCGGCTCTTCCAGCAAGCACCAGCGGCGAGACCAAGAAGTACCTTGTTAAGCTAAAGTCATCCCTGGATGCTGATCTTACAGCACACACTCAATGGGTGTCAGAAGTCCACTCACGCAGCCTCTCTCGTCGAGGTGGGGACACTGCTGGAGTCGAGAAGCAATTCAGCTTCCCAGGCTACCAAGGATACGCTGGGTCTTTCGATGAAGAGACCTTGGAAGCTATCAGGGCTAGTCCAGAGGTAAGATGAAAATTTCAATTCAGATTTATAATACCGGAAAATGCTGACATTAAATCCAGGTCGCAGAGGTCGAGCCTGAGCTTATTGTGTCAACTCTGGAAACCATCTCCCAGGAAAATGCACCATGGGCTCTGTCTATAATCTCCAATGCCAACCCTCTATCCTCAAGCTCGGCTTACCACTACGACTCTAGCGCTGGAGAAGGGTCATTCATCTATGTTTTTGACTCTGGCATCCTACTGGACCATGCTGAGTTCGGTGGACGGGCAGTGGCAGGATATACAGGCAGCGACCCAACTGACCTGGAGCACGGCACAGGCGTTGCCAGCATGGCCGGTGGTGCAACCTTCGGAGTGGCCAAGAAAGCCACACTGGTCAATGTACAGGTTATGGGAAGCGCGAGTGGCTCGACAACTACAATCGTTGATGGCATGACCTGGACGGTGAACGACATCGTCTCCAAGAACCGGGTTGGTAAATCCGTCATCAACATGTCCTTGTCCACATCCATCACCTCCAAGGTGCTGAATGACGCGGTTCAGGCTGCCATCGACAATGGTATCCCTGTTGTGGCAGCTGCCGGCAACTCAAATGAGGACTCCGTCGACACTTCACCAGCCAACCAGCCCAACGCAATCGCCGTTGCGGCCTGTAACAAGAACTACCAGCGGTGGGCACACTCAAACTGGGGCTCTACTGTAGATATATTTGCTCCCGGGCAAGAGGTGACCGTCGCATCGGCTACAGGCACCAACGCGTCCCGAATCAGCAGTGGCACATCTGAGGCGGCTCCTGTTGTTGCTGGTGTGGCGGCTTACCTGCTGGCTCTCGAGGGTCCACGCACGCCTGCCGAGATCAAGACCAGGCTAGAGGAGCTAGCAATCAAAGACAAAATCACAGACACGAAAGAAGTCCCAAACCTTCTTTTGTATAACGGCATTGGCAAGTAAGGGGCGGCTTTCGGGTGGTCAATCATCGGTACGGCTCGCTCTGTAATTACTATACCTTATTGATTAAAGCACGCTTCCAAGTCATTTTAAATGAGACAATTGAACTATAAGAACAATATCTGAGGGGTAGGAAATCAGTAGTCTTCCGATATGTCTTTAGCCAAGGTGTAGTCTAGATTATGAAGCGCTGGACATCGCTCCGATGAAGTAATGCAGTATATGAGATCCTCTTGTCGGTCACTTCCTGTTCCTTGAAAGCAATAAGGAGAGCTTCCCGAGCCCGCCGATAGTTCTCACCCCGTTCCGTCAGCCCATTGAATCTCTCCAAGATCCATTCTCGATGAATCATGTCATCCGATTCTATTGCTGTAACGAAGAGCGACCATGCCAACCGGGTCATAAATCTCTGGCCATGATGTCTATAGGCCTTCAGAGCCAGCGAGATGATTTGTTGGATAGATTCCCTTTGCGAGAGGTTCGAAGGCCCATCTCCTTTGATCACGCGTAGGAAGCAGAGGACAACGGCGTGGTAAAATGCGATAACGAAGCGAGACATGGCGGCAAAGTGTTTTTGTGAGTCTTGACCGATAGCGTCCAAATGGTTTGCGGTCTGTAGCAGTTCACGGTATCTGACCCCTACTACCTTGATTCCATTTGCAATAGCTTTTCTGCCGTCATGGTCGGAGCTTCCTGTACGATACTCTTTATCGATCAAGGTCCCGAGCAGAAACCTCAACTGGCCAAGCTCGGTATAGAGGCAACTCAATTGGCAGTTCTGCAGGTCATCCACCAAATATTGCTGGGGGTACGATCGGCCCCAGATGTAGCGACCGACGAGACTAGAGCGCTGTTGGAGGGCCTTCATATATTCAAGCCGAGCTTCTACAGGGGAAACAGCAGTTCTTGGAAGCTGACGCCCAAGCATCTCATCGAAGGCTCCGCTAAGCCCATTCATAACAGCTCCGCCGTCAAACAAAGCCATCCAGACCATGATTCTGCAGGAAAGGGGGGACAGGTTCCTGCATACGCCCTCAGTTGTAAGCTGAAGGTTGACGTCTCGTTCAAGTTCCTCTTCTATAGACTGTAAATCGTGTAAGCTGGACTCCTCATGTAGTTGTATTGGATGAAGCTGGCCCGTAACCAATGACCCGACCCCCTGGAGGTGTGCACTCAAACCAACTCCACACCCGTCACCAAACTTGAGCTCGTAAATGATCATAAGCCAGAGCGCAGCAAGGATACGTTCAAGCTCAATTTCACCCTCGGATCCTTGCGACAGGGTAAACATTTCCCGCAGACCATGTGCAGTACGACGGGACTTCGGCAGGCCAGTGTCCAGATCATGTTGGGTCCGCTATATTCGGGAGGTCCGCTGTCACCCTCGAGCGGAAGCAAACAGCGGAACGCTTGAATAGCCCCATGGTCGAACGGCGTCAAGACTTGAGCACATTCCTGGGAAAGGCCCGCAGCCGATGACCACGGGCCAGGTGAAGAGGCCGAGAAATAACTAGACTCCAACCAGCTTGCAGTGTTATCAGTCGTCTCCTGGGCCCCGGGGTAGAGGGGAAGGGGCTAGTGGCAAGTCCATACAGCGGGCTATCCTCGTCGTCTTGCGAGCTCGTCTCCACGACCGTTGGCACGATTGTCCGCCTGGTGTATGGCTTCCTGGGTAGCGGCGTATAGTCGCACTTTCTACCGAATCGGATGCACCTCTTGCACCGGGGGTGTGTTTCGTCGCACTTGACTTTCTTCTCTCGGCATTTTCGACAACCCGAAAAGGATCTCTTGGATTTGCGAAGTTGCGTCGAGGATGGAGACTGAGATCCGGCGGGGAAAGCATTATCGCTAGGCAAGTCACGCGGACCGTCAACTGGGGCTGTTCTGGAGTTTCTGGTGCGGTCCATTCTGAGCCCAGGCTATCTAGCAGCGTCTATTGGAAGGAAGACAGTGAAGGAAATTGCAAATAAGAACAGGAATGAAATCTACCATGGGTCGGCTAGTTGGAAAAAGCCGAGTGCTTTAGCCGACGACTTGCGGATATGAGCCACGCTAAGATTTCGCTTCGGAGCTCAACCCGCCACTAATAACTACGTGAGGAGGAGGTAGTGAAGCCATTCCTCCGGTCACTTAGAGGTAGGAGTCTATTCACTTTACCTGGATATCATATTCACATATGCTCTTCAAAGTCGAGCCTTTATGGGCGATCACTGAGATTGAGAGAATGCAGAAAGCCCTATAGGCAAGTCGTCTTCTGATTGGATGCCCAATTATCACAGACCACCTTATCCAACTTCAACCCCTTTCTCATTGAGCTGGAGTTGGGCTACTATTAGGAAGAGAGTAATAGAAATCATCTGTTGCCGGATTCGATTCACATATTATGGGGTTTTCGGTGTCACGCTAATTATATTCATCCCAACACTCCGCACAATGTGCGGAACTATTGATTTATTTCTTTATTTAGACTTGATTGGAATTCACTTCGGTAACATGTCGGCTGGCTGCCCGGAAACCACCTCATGGATAGCCCTAGCAATATAGGAGACATTCGTACTTGTAACGCCACACATAGACGCCCGCCCGGTAGGAAGTAGGTAGATGTGATGCTTCAGCTGCAAGTCCTCAACCTGCTCCTTGCTCAACCCTGTGCAGGAGAACATGCCAGTCTGCTCAGTAATGTGGTCCCAGCTTCCAGGGGTTTGCAGCTTCAAAAGCTCATCACGGAGGGCCGATCGCATGGCTCTGATGCGCCCGCTCATTGTTGACAGGTCGCTCTTCCACATCTGCTGTAGATCCTCATTTCCTAGCACTTCACTCGCGACGCGACTCCCGAATAGCGGTGCCATGGAGACACAAGCTCGTTGCAGATCGATGAGGTTGTTCTGGACAGCCTTGGCTAAGTTGGGTCCATTCGGGTTCGAGCGATGCACCATCAAATGCAATGCCCCCACACGCTCGCCATACAAGCCCAGGTTCTTGGAGAATGACTGACAGACTGCAAGTTCGATCGAAGGGTGCGAGACAAAGTGTCGGATGGCCCATGCATCCCTATCGAGATCTCCAGAAGCACATCCCTGATAAGCCGAGTCGAATATCACAAAGAGTCTTTTCTTGAGACATAGGTGAGCCAGCTCCCTCCATTGCTGCTGCGAGGGGTCTCTTCCCGTAGGGTTGTGAGCACAGGCATGGAAGAGGATGGTATCATGCTCTAGGCAATTACGTTGCAGAGTCTCCATCATCGCATCAAAATCCAACGCGCGCTTAGCATCGTTATAGTATGGATACCACTGCACACTGACATTCGGTGCGTTTACTTTCCATATATCACCGTGGTTGATCCACGTCAGGTTTAGCAGCCAAATGTTGGTCGGACGAAGGTGTTTCTGCTCCAAGAACATGGCAACCAAGCTGTTGGCACCGGTGCCTGATACTGTCTGAATCGAAGCTAAAAATGGCTGCTGCTGTTGAACGATTTTCGGTCCGAACAGAACTTGCTTTGATACCTCAACAAACTTGGGACTTCCTTGAAGTGGCAAGTATTCGTGGTGGGAATGTCCGAGCTCCAGCCGACGCTTTGCCTGAGTGGAGGTTAACGAGGATACCATTGATCATGGTCGATCGCATGATCCGCCAGCACCAGGATTTAGCTTACCTCGGTGACAGAAGGGAGATGCCATGGCTTTTCTTCATCGTCCCTGTATGCTCCAATTATCAGGTTTACTTTTCGTAGGTCCGTGTCTGCACGAAACGCCGCCTCCAGTGCAAAGGGGCCATTTGTTTGTGCAAGTCTCAGGGTAGAAAAACGCGACGTCTCCGGAGGAAAAAAAATCGTATCAGGGTTCATGAAGTTTTATTGAAGAAATAGAAGAATCTAGGAAGATTTGATGTTCCAATCCATCAATGGGTATCTCTCTAATGGGGAATATGAGGCTTGCTCTTATATATATAGTTTGTACCCTATCACAATACGGATAATACCTATATGAAAGTACACAGAGTTCCCACCAATGCTACTCCCCAACCTTGCAGAGCTCCAATACATCAGTGGAGCGATATTTTCTGATGAGGTCTTCTACTCAACTCTCAACTTGTCGGTAATTCCTCGACGCTCGAAATTGTGGGGCAAATAGCCGGTCGCTTGGTTTTATTATCGGCGAGCTTTGAGAGCTTCAAATGGCGGAGTGGAGAAGACCAAGAACGAACCCTTTCCTTCAAGCACTAGGCCAGCCGCCGAAAACAATTGAGACGTCGCCCATCAGCATGATTGAAGTCGCAGAATATACGTATGTACCAGGCTCACGATGGGGAGAAGTTTCTGTGGAGATGTGCGAATCACATCATCGGCAGGTCACATCTTGCATATTCTGCAGGCGCTGTTCCTGGACTGATCGCCAGGGTTCAAAAAAGCTGACGAGGCCCTTGTTCTCGATGAGACGCGGGGGTTGTGGAATGGTCCCAGAATGGGACGGATCCCTGCGAGGGTCTGCCAAGTAGCCGCTCGTTTCTATGTTGAAGCTTGACGGGCGTTTTATACCATATTATGCACATTTAAATGCTTCTGAGTAGTGGGTGTAGCAGAATTACCACCTACCCGTCTACAAAGAAAAGGCGGTATGGTTGAGCTGGTGTCAATGTCTGGTGTGAGTGAGTTACCGGATTTCCGAATACGCCCCGAGCAGCCGGTCTACCTACCCTATACCTTCAATGGTCTCTGCCATATTTCAATATCCATGCATGCATTTACTTAGTCTAAAATGGCAAGCGAGAATATAATCCATCAATTGATTGTGAGAGCCAAATAAGGTATTGGTTTTTCTTATCGACATGGCGGTGTGCTATCATTTATGATGCGTTGTCCCTCCTGGTGCTTACACCAATCGTGGTAATACGAGGCATCTCAACACCAATTCAGCTGACTAGTGAAACTGCAACCACAATTACGAGCTGAACCAGCTAATTCAAAACAAGACATATGATAAGAGACGCCGAAAAAGCCGCCCTTGCAGATAAATCTGCGTCAAAACGCGAGACCTCTGTAAGAATACGGTTACGCGCACCGAGATGAGCAGCCTCTCCGCCAAGAGATCCAATAATCACCGAGAATGAGGATGACGAGAGCCAAGGTCGGGTCTCTGGCGCTACCACACCGCGCAAAGGCCCTCCCTGGAGATAAAAAATTCGTGTTCCTGGCGCCAGCACTCCAAAGATGGGGCGGACCAGCTTGGCAGCGAGGGAGAGGGAAAATGGGTGGGGTTCGCGGGTTGTGGGCGGCATGGACTTTTCTGTCTGGATCTCGAGATGATGCGACGGGAGGAATATGGCCCAGGGAAGAGAGATGCCAAGGTGCGTCGGGCAGTGCAGCGTATCACGTTAGATTAAGAAAGGCGCACCGCACATCGCATGTGCGTTTGGGCGACCCGAAGCCGCGACAGGCCACGTCTCGGATTTGCGCTCCTCGCTCTCGCTGCGCCTGTTCCTGTTACGGGACTGCGGCACATGCCAAGCAGCCCCAAGGGTCCTGGCCAAGCAAAAAGAGGGGAGCCGAGGGACCGACCGTAGCGCTTAGTGAAGTCGCTGTCATGATCCGTACATGCACTGGAATGAGGCGCCAAGGGATGAACACGAGGGCCATACGAGAATTGGCAGAGAGAAAAGATTGCATTGGGGTATTCAGATAAGAAAAAAAGCAAGCAAGTAATGCATCGAGTCGGTGACGGGATGCCAAGCACCTTGTCGGTGTAGAAGAGAATTAACACATTCCCCCCATATCGCTCAGAAATGACCAGAACCCCGAAAATCGCAGGTACTCAAAAACTCCACAGGGTGTACATATCCTCATGTCCATCATCCCATATAGACCACCAAAAACAAGAAAAACAGCTCGTGAAGCGAGAGTGAGGAGCAAAATGCACAGAAAGACGTAACGCTTTTTCAATGATCATCATAAGTCGTAGCGCTGTGAACCCAGCACAGCATCTTGGAGGTGCGAGACATTGCGGTACCGTCGAGGTACCTCTTGATGCCTGAAAATCATCCCGAATCCCGGCAAGTCCGGGATACCATCAGATGCGAGAGGCGAAAAACACAAGGAAATGTCGGAAGCATAGGGTCTAAAGTAAATGAACCAGAGTCGCTTGGCATCATTTTTCTTTCTTTCTTTCGGTTTGTTGTATTGGATTCGTGCGGCCGCTCTATACGCAGACCTTGTCGATGACGTTGTCGGTCTGGACTACGACGCACTTGCCCGAGACAATGTCGGGCATGGTGTCGTCGGGGCAGTGGCACTTCTTGCCCTTTGCCTCCAGGGGCTGCTGGCGCCTCGATACTGGGCAGATCTGCTCGACAGTCTTGCCCTTTGCGCTGGTGCACTTCCTCGTGAAGGAGTCGGGGTTGGTGCCCTCGGGGCAGTAGCAGCCGCGGTCGAGGACGGTCGGCGAGCTGGTCTTGGTGACGGGGAGGGCGGCGGAGAGGCCGATGAGGGCGAGTGCGATAAAGGATTGGAAGCGCATCTTGTATGTGTATGGTAGAAGTCGGTTTATCGTAGGAAAAAAGAGGAGGCGGGGTTGAATATATGTAGTGTAGGGGAGAGCAGAAGTAGGCTCGTCGATCTAGTCTTTTTTTGGTGTATAGAGGCGAAACCTGTCGTCATATATATTTTCCGGTCTTTTATATTTTTGTTTGTCGTTGATTTTCTGGTGTATTTCTTGGTATAATGGACGGAAGAAAGGAAAGGAAGGAAAGTGTCTTGTTGCGATGTGGATTTGGTGGCTCGAAAGGATGGGACGGATTGACTGATATAGGCGTTTCACCGCCAAGTCAGTCACAGCGAGGATCGGTCGAGAAAGGCAGGCAAGCGACGAAACAGGCAGCGGGCGGGTAGAGTTACAGGTGGGCAGGGTCGCACCACCAACAGTTGCAGTGTCAGTCGAGTGGGATGTAACAGGCAGGCGGAGACCCTGTCCTTAGTAAGGCAGGGGAATGTAGGGATCGAAGTCGAGGACAGATGGGATGATCACAGGTCTAAGGACAGAAGCGTTTCAAAGGGGACGGCGCTCTTTATCATGCGCAGTCCTGGGGTTTAATTAATGGTGCTACGAGAAGGCTGATGTGTGCTGACCGCGCCTTTTGTCAAGCCAAGCCAAGCCAGCAGAACAGACTCGGACGGCTCCCTTGGGTCTTGGCTTGGTGGGCTTTGGGGCTTGGAACGGGACCCATTGCCGTATGACAGCGCCAAGAGACTGAGCCCTATTGTCGCGGACGGACCCCTCGGACCTGGGTTTGACGGACATACGTATGACCCGGCTCTCTCAAGGGAGGAGGAGGAGGAGGATTGCTGCGCGTGAGGGCGAGAGCTAGCGCAAACCTAGACCCCCAGATACTGCCCAATGGTTCTAGTGATCTAGCCTTCGCTACGGCCGTCACTCGCAGCAGTCACTCCAGCCCTGGACCCCATCGGTGCCTGAGGGCGCGGCCACTATTGGCAGGGCACCCCGCTAAATTTAGCCCCAGTACCACGCAGCTGCACACCAAAGATCTTGGCCTGATCCGTCGATTCTAGCCCTCCTCCTCCGTTCCTCGTCGACGGCGATCGCTGCTATAATAATCGCCCGCTGTGAATCCTCTGCTGTGTTATTTTTGTGTGACGCTGTCTGTATGTCACATTACCGTGCATCAGTGTTCGTCACCGCCGCGTCGTGTAAACAACACGGTGATGCGATTCACATTCCATCCCATGCCCGCCGTCATCGTCATCGTCATTTTAATCTCGCGCACAGCCTCATCACGGCTATTTGCTGCAGGGGCAGCAATGTGGCCGTCAGCCGCACCTGTCTAGACCCTTTTCCCGCCCTGAGATTCGGATGGGCTGGGCTGGACCGGGCTAGCCACGATAACAGCTGCATATTTCCTCCCAACTATTAAACCTCGATCCCGACGGCATTGTCGCTACTTATCTATTGTGCATGATATTGCGCGGCCAATGTAGATTTATTGTCCACTGCATTGGACATTGAGACATGCATTCACTCTCTCGGCCCCCAAACAAAACCGAAGCTGGACAATCCCGCGATCCTAGCAAAAGCACTTTTCTTAGAGCTGCTGCGCCACATTCAAGCTATCCTTGGGCCTTCAATGAGAGCTGGAATGCCATCCCCCGCAAATCGGCCAGGGGAAATGCTCTCTCCGTCATGAATCATCGGCTAGCTCAATCTCAGTGGCGCGGTCGGGCTGACTGACAGCGCGGCGCTTTGAGCAAAAAAGACAAAGACCCATCCTTGGGGCCATTGAGAGTTCGCTAAGTCTGACTCACTATCGCCAATAACACACGATAATATACAATAAACCCCACGGTATGCGTATGCACAATTAAACGCCTCTTCTCTTATCGCAGCACAGACAAATCTCCCCCATTTCCCCCCAAGCTCGCTGCCTGGCCCTCCCTCACGATACCATCGTATTGCTAATCTCCTGCTCGTACCGCGCACGAGCCTCATTGACCTTCTGCCTGGTCTTCCATGCCGCGCGCCGGGACACCGGATACTGCTGATGGCATTCGTCAGCGTCATCCTCCCCGTCCGAGGCCCCGCCGCCCTTGATCGAGTCCAGCTCCGAGTTGATGAGCAGCCACAGCTCCTCGGGCAGGCGCCTGAACCAGGGGATGTCTCGGATGTGGGCGCGCCAGTAGTCGCGCGACTGAGGAGGCACTGTGGCGGTCGATAGCCTGCTCGGCCGCCGGGGATCGATCAGCGCCATCGTGAGGATCCCGCAGCTCGAGGGCACGCCTTTCACCCAGAACCTGTGCTGCACGCTGGCTGGGAAGACGAGCAGTCTACCCTGGGCGAGGCG